GAGACGGTGGCCTAAGACGCTACGTCACACTTGCTACCCTTCTCGTGTTATATAGCGAAAATGGCTACTACATTGCTGACTGATAACTTCCAACATCTTCTTGCGATCGCCATGCATTCCCTTAGAGACAGATCTTCCCAGGCATCCGACTGTGTCCGAAATCCCGGCTTGGTATCCCTATCTAATCGTACCCTCGTAGCCTCCTCTGAGCGTTGGTTAGGCATGAATGCCCTTCCGCAACTCCACTTCGATTAGATATTATGAATGCCCCCCCCCAACTACATATTACCCATAGAATACATTTGACACGTTTCTGTGCTGTACAATGTAATTTTCGTTGTAAACAGGCTCAATATTTGGCGGCAGAAATGGCGCTGGCCGGGAAAAGATTCTCACACTTCAGAGATCCCAAAGCTCATGGGCGCACAGCGTTTGTAACTGATCTGGACATCCCTAAAGATATAGTATCGGTTTTGAATACCTTGGCAAAAGTACGTTTTGATATTTATTAAAGCTTATTCTCAATCATGTTGGCAAGTGACAATGTCTACGTGTTAAGGGTAGCGTCACGATCACACCTCGTGAAGTCAGCAAATTTCTCAATGATGCCCTGAAACGTTACTATTCAACGCCCTTCTGGCCCGTTACGGAACAGGTAGGAGCAAAACTTTAATTTGTATTAGAATTTTGTTAACCTTTTGCTCAGGATGATCGGGTCTACGTCAAAAGTGAAGTTGTCGAAGCTGAAGATGAATGGGAAGCAGCGAACGCAAGCACTGCCGCCGATGGGTCGACGGCAGAAGAGGATAACGAAGAACCCTCTCTTTGTCCTCCTGAAGTGGTTGGTGAAAGTGAGAAATCGACGTTTCACTTGTAAAATTGGCGTATTTTTAGAGTGCAAAGGACTTGCTAGGTGATGATCTGTCGGAGTGTTGCTCTGACACATTAGAAAATGCGTCGGAGAGCTCCAAGGCGTCCTCATCTTTTTTCGAACCCGTGATCCGAAAGACTGATCCCGATGTGTTCGATCGGTATTTCCTTGTGAAAGGATCCCAGCTAATGGAGTTGTTTCAATTCTGTCCTCGATGTGGATGCCGATTGAATGGAACGGAATTGGTCGGTGTCGGTGTTGCGGCCGTTGTAAAATTCGTTTGCAAAGGCTGCAGTACTGATACACCAAATGTGCAACTGTGGAAAAGTCAAGAACTTCCAGTGAACAACTCTAAGGAAAGAACTTGAAGCATGTGAGTGAAGCAGTATAATCCATATTCTGGATGCGAGTGAGCATACGATCTGTTTTTGATTGCAGTTCGATCTCTGTCGACATTCTACGCTGTCTTCGTTCGTTCTCTTAGAGGGTCTCTTGTAATTTGTATATACTGGTCTTTGAGTTTGGAAGTGATTTTGGTCAGCTTACGACAAGGCTGCTAACCTCTTCTTGAGCTGACGATTTTTTACTCTTTCTTACGGGTTTTTAGGTGAGTCATGTTTACCGCCCCAGGGTTTTTTTGCGATATGCGAACAGAAGAAAACTGCGTGTTCAGGGAGATGATTCTGCTACTTGGAATTTGAGTAGATCAGTCCGCCTCAGGAGCTCACACTGAGTTTCAAAATACCGCTGACGCATGGATTATTCTTGATGAATTATTCGCGATTTTGACGCGTGACTGTCCTGATGTTTTGCAGGTGTGTAAAGTTAAACATTTCAGTTCTTAAGTGCCTTTTTATTATCTCTTTTTTCCTAAGTGCTTTGTTTCTTGTCCAAAATTTCTAATATTCATTCAAATTTTCATGATTCTATTCTATTTTGATCCTGTATTAATTTATTATTTGATTATTATTTATAACTTATGTATATATTTCTGCATTAGGAAATTCTGAAAAGAGGTACTCCCACATTAACATATTAACGACGGTTTCGGTCAGTGATGACAGTATTGTAGGTTACGCAAATCATAAAAAAAAACTCGCGCTTCTCCTTCTTTTGATAATTTCTACGATTTATCAAGTTTATTACCAACAATTACAATCGAATTTCAGTAGAATGCAGTTATTTATGAACAGGGTTGATGCCAGAGTCCGCGATCCGTCGCGCAATTCGCGCGAATTGCAGAAGTCGGAAGCGCCTTGACCAATACTACGAGAATTGCCAATTCAATCGCAAAGCCGGCAGTGATTACTTAAAGCGACTACTCCACTTTTTTCATGTTCAATATCTCGAATGTTCATTCAAATGTTTGCAGTTCTTTGTTTCTTGTCCAAAATTTCTAATATTCATTCGAATTTTCATGATTCTATTCTATAATATTTTGATCCTCTTTTA